GAGAAAAGAACAGTAGAAAGTAAGGGCAGACTTTTCAAGAGTGGCCAGCTTCCTCAGATCACAAGAAATCTTGAAGTTTGGGATTTTTTAAAGTCCTTTTCCACAATTTTCATCAGCAGGTGCAACGAGGTGGGAACTTCAGAAGGAAACTTCATTTCTGGATACTTTGTATTTCACTGTTGCCAAATGTAATGAGCAAAAAGAAACTGAGCCCCACAACTCACGTTTTAAGTAAGATTATCTTCCTTAAAAATTGCTTATATTAATATTTGACATAAATCAATTATGTGATGTCATGCTTCCTGATCATTAAACTTCCAAAAAGCACTGTATACATCCTCAGGAATGCAGAAATGCTATAATTCCACAGGTCTCTCATAGCTTTTTCAAGTTTACCTATCATGCAATCTTTCTGTGAAAGAAATTGATACGAGTAGAAACAGCTAAGGAAAAAAAACCTCAACACATATAAACTGAAGAATGGGAGAAGTTTTTGCTTTTTTTGTGTTTTCTGTGTGTATTCGGTTTGTATTTGTCCACTATTTGTTCAGGCCTCTCTCTTGTCTCTTGGAAGATAGTTTGCTTTTACCTGCTGTCTTGGTTTTCTGATGCTCCTTATGGAGACTGTTTCATGTGCTGGATACTTTTTATATTAACTGAGATGCCTGAATTTGCTCTCTGCTCTCAAATTCCACCACTTAAAAATGGCAAACCTCGTTTCCTCTGTTTTCCTGAAGCTGCTGTTTCCCCGGCAGCTGGGATGAAGAATCAACCCACCTCCAGTTTGATTCATAACATATTCCCCTGTGTGTTACTGTGTTCTTTCACCTAACATAAATGTAGAGTACAGACTCCAATGATTTGCTTCAAATTGTAACTCCTAAGTGGTTTTCCCTCTTAGAATATGCACGTCTTTAAGAGGCTTTTAAAGTAGAACGTGCAGAGGCACCCACTTTAATATTAATGATTTCCTTATTAGCTGCTTGTAAACATTAGGAAATGGTTTGAAAAGTTACCTTTTGCATGAAGCAATAGAAAATTATTTGCATCAGCTGTTCTGAACAGAAAATGCTGTAATGCTGATCATTTTCTATACCTTAGGACAATTGGCTATATCTGTGCTAATTTTAAGTCGGGTATTTTCCTCTGATTAGGGTCAGAAGGAAGTTGGAGGAAATTGCTCCCTTTAAATGTCCTGCTGTTTAAGGAGCTGGGTGGGTCCAATATCTACCCATCTAAGCTGTGAAGGAAAATCTCTGATGTAATTTGCAGCAAAACCTGAGCTTCATCTAAAAGTTGTGGCTCATCAAACTTGTGAGAGTGGTTTTCAGGAAAGTCTGATGTCTCAGTGCACATTACATCAGTATTGCAGATCTAGTACATTTGGTACTGCTGTGGCTTGAAATTGCTGACTTGTAATTTTTCTTCTGGATCAACTGAGTCACCAAGTTGAGTGTATTTGGAGTTGTTTTATTTCCACGTCAATTCTGCTTTCAAGTGGGTGCAGTGAAAGTGCATCACAACATTTCCTGCATTCTTTAGAAAAGTCATTGTTTTTAATTTTCTTTTTACTTTGTGCACAGCTGCAACCCCTGGAAAAAGAGAAATTCTCTTTATTCATATTTGACAAGCACTCAAGCCTAAATGTTAACAAACACCAGGGCAGTACATGGCTGCACTAAATATGATAAACGGAAGTAGCTGTGGGGACCTTCCCATCCATTCTTCTTGGATGAGGGATTTTGCATGGGATCAACATCCTGCAACTGAAAGACACCTGGTCTTGCTTCTTCTCCTTTCAGACCTGAGCTGTGTTATCACATGCTGTTACTTAAAGCCAGAGAAGAGGGTTTGCGTTTCACCCTACCCCATCATTTGTAGCAGAAGGGATGAGGAATAATGAAGTGAGGGCCTGAAAAAAGACCAAAAGAACACGAGGAATTATGCACTGCTGAAAGAGTTGCTCTCTTTATTGAGGCACTTGCAGATTCAAGCTGGTTGCATGCCCTGGCCAAGTCATCAGGTTACTAGGGCCTAGTACAACCTTTTCTCTTGGACAGCCGGAGTTGCAGCAGAGTGCAGCACACACTTGATGTGTGGTCTAGGCATGGTCTGGAGTGGCTTGGATTGCTAGAGCATATGAACATTTGTATGTGGGGTATAGAACTGAAGCCTGGAGGAATAACCACATCTAGGAAAGAATGGACTACAAGAGAGTGCTTGCAGATAATGAGATGTCTTGCAAGACTTAGGAAAATGTAAAGGAATGATGTATAACATTGGAAGGGCTACAGCAAAGAGAACAGGCTGCACTTATGAAAATCGCTACTGTTGAAGACACAGACAAAGCATGGCAGCTGTGTAGGAGGAGAAGGAATCACACTGGACATGGACTAGGAGCAGAGGAGAACAGAGAAACAACTAATTGCAGAGAAACACAGTAGATAATAGTCTGCCTGTAGAATCATAGAACAGTTAGGGTTGGAAAGGACCTTAAGATCATTTAGTTCCAACCTGCCTGCCATGGGCAGGAATGCCTCACACTAAACCATGTTGCCCAAGGCTCTGTCCAACCTGGCCTTGATCACTGACAGGGGTGGAGCATTTACCACTTCTTTGAGCAACCTGTTCAATCACCTCACTACCTGAACCTAGGACACCCTCACAGTAAAGAGCTTTTTCCTTATATCTAACCTCAAGCTCCCCATTACCCATTGTCCTATCACTATGGTCACTGATAAAGAGTCCCTCTCCAGTACCCTTGTAGGTCCCTTTCAGATACTGGAATGCTGCTATGAGGTCTCCACGCAGCCTTCTCTTCTCCAGGCTGAACAGCCCCAACTTTCTCAGGCTGTCTTCACACGGGAGGTGCTCCAGTCCCCTGAGCATCCTTGTGGCCCTCCTCTGGACTTGCTCCAGCATCTCCATGTCCTTCTTATGTTGAGGACACCAGAACTGCACACAACACTCTAAGTGGGGTCTCAAGAGAGCAGAGTAGAGGGGCAGGATCACCTCCTTCAACCTGCTGTTCATGCTTCTTTAATATACCACTGATCACTGAAGCCTTTTTAAGCAATTCTCTTGGTCTTGGTGTAAAGCATCTGTGCAAAGTATGCAAACAATACTTGGTCTTTTTTTTTGTGAAAATAACAAAACATGTAAGTCTAGTGGAAATCACAGAAATATTAGAGATTATTATTCAAGAGTAATTGCGGTCTCAGACATGAAATTAGTAAGAACAACTGTAGATAACAATGTGAGAGGAAAAAGACAGTACATTCACTTGGCAAAAGATGGGAACATATTTGTAAAGATGGTTTAAAAGCTTCTGGCATGCAGCAGACATAGGCTCAGAGCAAATATATTCCATACGCCACTGGAGCCTAACTTGCAGGTTAGCAAATGTCCTGCAGGCTTCAGTTGGAGTTTTAAGTTTGATCTTCCTCTTCATATTACCTGTGACTATACAGTTGTGACTTCATTGCTTTCAAGCATTTCCTGCCTTGCGTGATTTCAGCCTGGGCTCTCTTTGTTTTGGGGCTACTAGCAGATCCCCATGTCTTATGGTTTTTAGTAAAAGCTGTGGTCTTTTTATATAACAGACTCAAAGGCTGAGAGCCTGGTGAATGAAGGATATTCAGACAGAATAAACAGGCAAGCCTTCAGACTTTGCTTCCTTATATGAGTTTGAATTCTCATAGATCTAAAATCTGCCACTTATTTTTAATATTCTATATGGAAAATGCTTGGCTTAACCATGGTGGATAACACTAGAAAAAAAAAAAGAGGTTACATATGCACCATGTATTATATGTAACTAGTGGAAATCAGAGCTCTGTTGTGATGATTTTTCTCTTTGCTTTCATAGAGTCAGCTTCCTTGTATATTCCTCTGAAACAGCTGGTGCTGGCATTTGCCCTCTGCAGAACGGTGGCCTAGAGCTGCAATGCAGGCCGTGGAGACAGGGATGAGAGGTACTTGGAGAAGAGAGGGGTGGAGAGAGCTTATGGACCTAGAATGGTTTTCTGCCAATGTTTGGGTCAATCCACTTGCTGGAGTAAGACAAGATCCACCAAGAGGTAGAGGAGGGACTGCCATACTCCCGTTCTCTTGGTCATTTGGAACAATGACGTTCATTTTTCCTCCTTATTATCTTCTGTGTTTCTGTGCAGAATATTAGATAAGGTTTGAGTCATAATTATGTGGGAAAAAGTGCTATTGAAAATATTCCTTTTATGGGTGCTAGATGGCGCCGTGGATTAATGCTCAGGCCTTTTATCTGGGGGGTGTTCTGGGGCAAACCCGGATTGGTCAGGTAACAACTTGGCAATTAGTTTGTTTGTGGGAATTTAAGCCTCGATCAACGGAAGTATTCAGATTCTTAAATCCTCCTGAGTACCCAGCCTTTCCTGGACATCAGCAAGGACTCATAGCTGGAATCGTACCACTACAAAAGGGGCCATGGTACTCGGTGGACACCAGTGTCTTCTGCAACAGGAGCCACTTGCTGACCCCAATGGTGGGCTCTAAAGTGACAGGTGACTGAGATAACAGAAATTCAGCATGTTCATTAATATGCACAGGCAGAGAAAAGTACAGCTGCTGGTGCTGCACCTGAGGTTAGTCTCAGCCTATCAACCATGAAAGTCTCTTTAGAATGTTTACATTAAAAAAGCAAAAGTAAGAAACCAACAACCCATAACTTCTTTGGCAATACTGAGATGTATTTCTGTTTTTTCAGGCTATTTCTGTGGTGGTGTTGTTAAAGGATACTCGCCTGGAATCATCCAAACATTCTGCTGAATTATTAAAAAAAAAAAAAGTAAAGCACAATAGAATAAACTGGAAAGCTCATCTCTGCACAAATGTCAGCACACTGTTGGGCATGGGATTTGTATTCAAAGTCTTGCTCTTTCTTTTGTGAGAAGGAAGAGCCTTACTTAAAAACAAACGGTTTATAAACAATGCAGAGATGGGAAGACCACTTTATTGTGAAAAACTGAAAATTCAAAGAGTACCATGTGAGAACTTATACAACGGTCAGCAATGGGAGCAGCCACAGTTTGGAGGATGACCAGTGGGGACTGGGAACTGTTTAAAATGGGTTAAATATCCTGCTCAAGCAGATACAGTGAATGTTGCTCTGTGGAAGGGTATGAAGCAAATTCAGACATAACCAGCTTCAAACTCTCTAGCCCTTCATCATCTTCATCACTGGCCAGAGCTGTTAGCAGAAAGACAGCTCAATACTTGGCCTAGGAAGTGAGCCATGCTTTGGAGAGGCTGAAACACTGTGATGCCATCGCCAGCCTCAGCTGTGTAGATAGGCGACAGGCCTCCATATTCAGTTGAAGTGGCAGGCATGGGGTATACAGACCAGAGGTTTTTCTCTGTGAGTTCCATTTGTGATTAGAAGAACGCAAAGGGGATGAGGTAGGAGACCTGGGCACAGGCTGTGTCTCTGCTGAGGGTCCTTTCCCACCCTTTCTCCTCAGCCCATTCCAGTGCAGGCTCTGTGGCCCAGCAGCCACTGGACAACACTCTCCTCTACTGAGTGCTGCCCTGACACAAACAACTGCCTTCAAGCTTCTAAAGAAAAAAAAAAAAACAACAGAAAAATAGCATCTTACATAAAGCATCTGGAGAAGAAGCTTCAAAGGCTTGTTCCAGCAGAAAAAGTTGAGTATGTCTCTTTACTCATGGTGTGAGGGGCAGTGCTGAGGGGACAGGCATTTATTATGGGGCACATTCTTAAAGCTTTGCTTCTCCTTTCTATTTTTTTCCTGACATTTGCTGTTTTATACTCTCTGGCAAGCAGCAGAGCTCCACCGATGCTGACTTGCATAGCCCATAGAGATACTAAGGAAATATTTTTCTTAGCAACAAGCGGCACATGAAAACACCAAGAAAGGCTTCCCTTGCTCATATTTCACTTCAGCTTTTTCAGTCATCTGGTGCTGAGATAAGAGCTGAGTGGTGAAACTTGTTACTAGTGGGTATTTCACAAGGCAGCCTGGAAAAGGGGAATGTGTAAAAACTCTGTGCCCGTTGTTAGTGCAGGGGACTGAAATCACTGTGGTGTGGTGACCACCGTGCCACCTGTGTCAGTGCTGTTAGGTTGCTCCCATGCTGAGGTACTCTCAAGGGGTTCCTAGCTCACTGAGGTAAATGGTGTTGCCTTAACATGGTGGCCACGTCCAGGCTTGGAAATCCAGTGGATAAACAAAATGTTGCCATCTGGGGCAGCAGTCCTGGGGGTGCTTTCTGAGGCACCTCTTCCCACAGACCCCAGCACAGGTGAGGCTCTTGGACATTGATCTAATGAAAACGCAACAGTTAATGAGAGCTGAGGGGATATGAGTTGGACCCCTCACTGCTGTGAGGTTGGATAGGTGGGAACTCTACTACTGCCATTCTGAGGTAAATGGAGGAGAAATAATGGCAGCCTGTGCCCACAGGGCTCCCACAGGGGTTCCTGCTTGGAGTCAGTGGGCAGGTGGCCGCTACATGCCATGGTCTGGGGTCTGGGGAGCCCTGGCTGCAGTGGGTGCCCAGCACACGGGTACGTGCCATGGCCATTCCCTTTCCATTTATGCCTTTGAAACCTGAGGAGGAAAATGGGGATGGTGTTTTGTTCTAATATGGTAGTATTTTCTATTTTCTACCTGCTAGTGGGCCAGAGCTAAACTGTTAACATTATTTTAGCTAAAGTGCAGTTTTCTGGGATTGAATTATTAGTGACATGGGAGCAATGGCTGGTACTTGTGTCTACTTGTGAGTAACTCCCCCTTCTTTTCTGTCCCTGCTCAGCCATGCTGAAATAGTGTTCACAGATGGCGAAAGGCTTTGTCAACACCAGCAAATCACTACTTCTGCCTCCGCAAGGTCGGTGTTAGAAGGCAACATGTCTGAGACCACAGCTCTGCAACCAACGAGGAACATAAATTGTCAGGAAGCGTTTAGGAGTTGCCCAGTATTAGCAGGTAGAGCAAAAGCATTCTCATGGTAGAACCAACCTCTGAATTTAAGACCAGCCTTGCACCCACAGGGTGAATATTTTATGAGTAGCTTCAGTGGGGTTAGGATGAAGCCCAGGATGTTCTTACTCCTCCCTTGATGGGTTACTTACAAGAAGAATATCTGCAAAACTTGTTTGTTTGTCGTCAGTGTGTTTCCTGAATTTGTCCTTTAGTATCTTAGAAGTATTTATTCTTTGGAAAAACTCAGTATAACAAACTGAAAATCTTTTTCTGCAGTGGGACACATACTTCTGTAGTTGCTTAGAGATAGTTCACATACAGATAGAAGAAGATTTGTAAAACTGGTTTTAAAGCTGCATGGTAGGCAACTCAAGGAAGACATACATGTCCCAAGATAAGAAACTATCCTGCAGGCTTAAACTGGAGGTCAAAATCTTGCATTTTATGTGAATGAGTATCTGTGTTATAATATGATTCATGCAAACTCTGCTTAGTAGTTACGTGGTTTCTGTGTGTGGAGCTGGAGCTGTTTTGTTTGGGGTTTTTTGTGGTGTTTTTTTTTTTCAGTAAAACTGCAAATAGTCCCCAATTACAGTGATTCAGCAAACTTCAGAAGAATACTGAATTGTGAAGGATACAGTTTTAAAAATAATCTCTTGGGGTTTTTTTAGCTGAACTTGAACTTTTAATGGGTTTCAGATTTCCCAGTCACTCATTATAATTTATCCGGGAATTGTATTGCAGTGAACATCTTAACATGTAGGGACCAGATAGAAGACCTAAAGACTCTATTGTGTGAGGAAGGCCATGTTTTCTGTTTTATCCTTCACTTTTGAGATGAAAACAATGTGAGGAAATGGTGTGTTGATCAGTGTGTTGTACACATCTTGTTCTATAGAATCAGAGAGAGACAGGGCAATTGCCTTCAATCAATTCACATATTGTACTATGAGGCTGGTAAGGTTCATACCCTGCTCCATACATTGCTTAATGGCTTTTTATTATTTATTTTCTGAACTGTTACTGAAAGATTCTAAACATAAGTCAGCGTACATACAAAAGCATATATTTATTTTGCTACAGAAGTGGAAACATGCCTCTCCTTGCAGCTAATAATAGAACTGACATTGTTAAACAATTAAATTGGAAAATATTAATAATAGGTGCTTCATGCATATTAAACAAAACTTCAATAAGTGCTTTGTTTTATTGTTTAACTGTACGTATGAGTCATAAGGAAAGTGTTAATGTTCAGGATCGGATATGAATCATGTATTTGTGAACAATCTTCCAATGCCAGCACTGGAACCCCAAACACATTTATTCTTTGTAGTTAGTAAGCTCTGTGCTTGGAAACTGAAAGTGTAATCAAAGTGAGAGTTTATTTATTAACTAGCGGATACTGTGCATCTTATTTACACAGATTGATAATGGGAGGTGAAAAATAAGGAAAGAAGCTGGTAATGCATGGAGCTCTGTGTCCCTGGGGTACAAATCACAAAAGGAACCTGAGCAGCAGTAGCACTAGCCATTAAATGCTGCATTCTGTGATTTTAAAAGTCAATCCCATATTCATGAAGGAAATCCATATGGCACCTGATTTGTGAGGAGAGGTACCCCATTCTCTTAAAAGCTGACTTGAAGCATTTGTTGTTTTGACTACTTTAGCATTAGGGTGAGAGAATTCACTTCAAGGTAACAAACAAAACAAGTGAAATGCACAGGAGTAACTTGGGTGTTGTTATACATTGTATTGATTTGCATTACAGATAAAAATTTTAATTACGGAATGACAAGCTGTTTGTGCTGGCTGTATTTGGGTGTGCTCAGGAAATCAGGTTCTTTGTAGAAAGTACTCTCACCTGGTAATTATTTGCAGTCATTGGTAATAAGTGTGTTCTTAATTGCCTCCTCTCTGGAAAGGTAGAAGGTGAAAGGAAAGCTTAAGTTGTGTGTTCTGCAGGAGGGACAGACGTAGCTCATGCCCAGTATCACTGGCTAAGAAAAGCTTCTGAGTGTTAGCTGTGGTTTAGGGGAGACCTCTGGACACCTAGTTCAGCCTCTTATATTGCTTGAAAAAACTGTTTTTATTGTTTGTTTTCCCAACTGTGAAATGGATCTTGAAAAGCATTTGGTCAAGCTGCCTAGAATCCAATGAACAGTCCCGCGTTTACTCAGGTAGTTGCTATTGAATTTTAGTTGTGCTGTGAGTGTAAGATTTATGGAACTGCTTTGGGATATGATGCGTTGGTATTCTCAGAAAGTAAAAGTATACTTCTAACAGTAATAAAAATTTTAATGTTTCTATGTATCTGAGGCTAATGTAGAGTTACCATTCTAATCTTGCAAGATCATAAAAGTCTGAGTATTAACAACAATATTAAAAAGGAGTGAAAAGTAATTTAAATAATTTGGAAAGGCTTTGACTGACCCACATATGAAGGGAGAATTCCTGGCCCTATGCTCCTGCTACTGATCCTCACGGATAAGAGATTACATATATTTGCAAAGTGTGTCCATACACAAACTGTTCTTGAGAGCTTGAAGAACTGGTTTTGTCACGCACTGAAATATGACTTGTGCTCTCAGGTGACAGGATGCTTGGTGTCACAGTTGGCACACTCTTGGGCTTGTTTGGAGGCTACAGAAGTCACCTCCGTGTTGCCCTGTGGCATGGGGTTTGTCTTTGAAATTTTGTGGACAGAAGTGCGAGTTGTTTTAATTTTTGATTTTTAAAGGACATACTGGTTAGTGGGCTAATCAAAGAGAGTTAATTGAAGGAGATTTGGTGGTGCGTGACCAAGCAGAAATACATCTATAGTAGGAATTGGCAGTGATTTTTCATGTAAATTTCATCTCCAAGAAATTTCCTAGTCTGTCCAGTTCTTCAGATAGAAAATTGTCTTTCTACTGTGTTAACATTCACATGTTTAAATCCAGGCTGTTGCACAGGGCTTACAATAACAGAAATAAATATATAAAGAAAAAAGGCAGTTCTATTGGCTTTTCCTGTCTGTATTAATGTCCTGATTAAACAGGTCTTTCGAGTGGGGCCAGACCTGACTACCACTGCTACTTCCTTCTGTTGTAGAAACATAATTTGAGTTTTGATGAGGAATGCTTCCTCCTTCAGCCTGTGTTGATTTCTTTGTGTTTCTAAGTGGCATGCCTCATCTGCTTTGTTTAAGCAGAAGGAAGGAACTTCTAGTTTTGAAATGAAAGCAAATAAAACCTTTGCATATTGTGAATTTTGGCATTTTTAATTTTGCGACGCCCCATAGGTCTCATCTTCCTTGTGCAATTTCAGTTAGTGTACATATGCAGCCATACCAACCAATAGTCTGGTGTTGCTCTGTAGGAAAGTACTTTCTGGAGGCTGAAATAAAAATCGTACATCAGCAAGTTATAGAATTTAAACATCCTATTGCAGACACTTGGGTCAGTCTGTGTTGCTGTTCTGACGACATTTATTGCTTGGTACCAAATAGTGTCACTGAATGACAGTATCTGTGGATGTATCTATAGTTAGGTATCCAACTAAAACCTTGCAGAAGTCAGGAAGGTGTCTTTGAAGAGCACTTACATTGCAGCCTAGTGTGAGCTCAGACCTCTTTCTTGCTTTTATATCTAACGTGAGAACTACCCCAAATAAAAGAAACATCCCTGCAGTGCAGGGCTGTTTGAATTCCTCTTAATGCCTCTCCTTGTTATTGATGGTGAAGCATGCCTAGAAATACAGATGGAGCTGATGCACTATTGCTCTGTTGATGTTGTTGTTTAACTCTGTTAGCCTGGAGGAGTTTAAAGGTATCTTACAACCTTTCTTGTTATCTCTTCTGTGTAGTGCTCTGCAGTGCACATCCATAAATTGAGGTCAAGTAGTTTTCCTTATTTGTGGCTTTAGCAGTAAGTCAGATTCACTGAACGTTTTTCTCGTTAGAAGGTGAAGTTTGTCTGCCATTTCTTGTCTTTCTGACTCTTGCCTGCCTTCAGCAGGGTTAGCTTGCTGCTTTGTCAAGGTTGAGAACTTAAACTTTGCTTCCATTCCTTGTCTGCGGGTTAAATAATGACTGTGCTGAGACGATTAACAGAGAACAGTCAGTTTCCTTATTGCTGATGAAAGGGATGGAACACATATCCAAATCCCATTAGTGGAAATCTAGTCCTGGCTGAGCTATGTAAGATTTTCAGAACATGTGTAATAAAAATGAAAGAGGAAAAAAGAACTGATTTTATGAGCTCTTTCTGCACTATTGCAGTGTATTTAATAAATAAATAAATAGAAGTCCTTACTCTTTTGTCAGTACATGGTCAGTAATTGTTACTTAATATTTTGTAGTTTGAAGGCACATGGAGTATCTACATAACATCAGAGTTACACATCTTACCCTAACAGTCTACAGACTTACAACCAACATACCTGCAAACCACCACAACAGCCTCCAGGCTCTTGGTGATGGGACTGTGAATGGAGGCAAACTAAAAATGGTCCCCTCAGAGTTGTGCTTTTTGGATACTTGTGTTCAGTAGTGCCCAGCTGCATACAGGAGTTGTTGAGTGCCTGACTTTTATCAGACCCTGTGCTGTTCAGAGAACAGAAAGAGCTGCTCTTTTTTTGTCCTGTACCTGTTGAAAGATCTCATGTGAATAATCCGTTCAGTCCCAAAAGAGGGCTGAACTCTTGTGTTTCACAGTGGTTACCTAGGAGGAGGAGGAAGGATTATCCTGTTTTGCAAGGGCGTGTAATGGCAAGACAAGGGGGAATGGCTTTAAACTGAAAGAGGGGAGATGGAGATTGTATATCAGGAAGAAGTTATTCCCTGTGAGGGTAGTGAGAAGCTGTGGCTGCCCCATCCCTGTCAGTGTTCAAGGCCAGGTTGTACAGGGCTTGGAGCAACCTGGTCTAGTGGAAGGTGTCCCTGCCTGTGGCAGGGAGTTGGAACTGGATGAGCTTTAAGGTTCCTTCCAACCCAGACCAGTCTGGGATTCTTAAGGCTGCCACGGCCAATTTATATCAACTTCGTTGCTGTATGAAGACCTCAGGTTTGGGGCCTTATTAGAGATATATGCATTATTTCCCACTGAAATACAAACATCCCTGTTAAATTCAATTATTGGAATATATTTAATATTCAGTTTCAAAGCTGAATTAGTCTGAGAAAAAGGCCAGAATTAAGTAGAAATTAGCAGCAATTGAGAAGGTATTTGCTTGAGTTTAAGCTTTTATATGCTGTTCTCAGAATACAGTAAGGAAAAAAATCAGAGGCATTTATACTTTAGCCAAGTTAAAAGCTGTCCACAATGTGTTGATTACAATGTCCACTTTACTGAGCAAGTATTGACAATGGCTTGGTATATTAATTACTCCATATTCTACTTTTTCACAGGAACTTTGTTCTGATGATAACCTTTTATGAATCACATTAATCTGCTAAATAAATTTCGTCCTAGAAATAAGAGTAACTTTACAGTTACATGACTAAATTGTTCCTGTGTCCTAACATGACAGCTTTGATTTGTGTATTATAGACTGCCTGTTTCAGAAAGCATTTTACTCTGCAGGAAGAGATGCACAATAGAGGAAGATGATGCATCCAACCAAAAGTTGTGGTGCTCCCTGTCAAATTGGGAGTGTGGGGCTAAAGACAGACCAGGATGGAGACTCTTGTACAGCTCCTTTGGTCCATGAGGAGTCTTTCTCAACAGTGGGAGTTTTTCAGTCAGCCTCTAGACAGTGACAACATTAAGAAATACGATTAGGATGAAAGATGATCGTATGTTTTTATTCCCTTCCCCTCTCCAGTGCCCATTTTGTTAGCAACAACAGAAAAAATGAACTGGAATTCAGCCCAAGTATTTTAGATACTGGAATTAGCACAGTGGGTTCACAACATAGTTCCCTGCAGCTGAGAAAGTTGGGACCGTTCAGCCTGGAGAAGAGAAGGCTATGTGGAGACCTCATAGCAGCCTTCCAGTATCTGAAGGGGGCCTATAGGAATGCTGGGGATGGACTCTTCATTAGGGACTGTAGTGATAGGACAAGGGGTAATGGGTTAAAACTTAAACAGGGGAAGTTTAGATTGGATATAAGGAGGAAATTCTTTCCTGTTAGGGTGGTGAGGCACTGGAATGGGTTGCCCAAGGAGGTTGTGAATGCTCCATCACTGGCTGTGTTCAAGACCAGGTTGGACAAGGCCTTGGGTGATATGGTTTAGAGTGAGGTGTCCCTGCCCATGGCAGGGGGGTTGGAACATGCTGATCTTATGGTCCTTTCCAACCCTAACTATTCTACGATTCTATGATACCTTTCACTGGGCTATTGATAATCACTAGATTTTGTTTGCTTCTTCCAGTTCAGCAGCTTTGTGGTTTAGTGGCTGTTTGTATGGTATTACTAACACATATACCACTAGCCTGTCATTGTGGACAATTACTTAATATTCCTGTATGTTTATTATTAGTCCTTTACAGCCTGATTGTCAATTTTTATGTGGGTGAATGTGCTGTGCTGAACTGCAGAGAAAGGTACTGCTACTATGCGATGGCTCACAGAAACCTAAAGGCTTAGAATAGTTTAGAGGTAGATGTAAGAGGAAAGTGTCATATTTACGGTTATATGAGATTCTAGTGAACACCATAAAATCTGACCTAGGGCATCAGAACAGAAAGTGAGTTATTTTATATTTATTTTATTTAAGCTTGTTACACCTAGAACTGTAATATTTTGAAGTATGCTGCCTGCCTTCTGCTTTTATTGTCTTCAGACTTGCCCAGTGATAATGTTTTTTCAATTAAAATTAGAAGCACAAAAATGCTGATTACTTGAAATATACATTAAGAAAAAAAAAAGTATGAGTGTTTTGAGAGCAGTTTAAAATACATTTGGATGCAACCAGCACTGAAACATCTCTGGGTAAGGTTTATGATAAATTAAGAGATTCAAAACCTTTCCAGGTTAGGAGGTTCAGTTCTGAATTGGAGAGCTGGAAATGTCTGACAGTTGTTCTTGTTAGAGCTGGGGAACTGATATGCTCACAAAAACCTCAGGTGGTCAAATTCAGGACAACTGTATTGCCTTTGACTAAAATTAGGGCATTTTAATGATAGGCCTGCATTAGGGCCTTTTAATGATAAAATGCAGTTTTTGAATGGAAATTCCATTTGTGCGTTCCCAAAATTGAAAGGGATTTTTAACAAATACTCTGGTTTTGGCTCATTTCTATTAGAAGGACCCCTTACAAGATTTGTTGTCTTTAGGTCCTCTCTGGATGCACTGGTAAATGTTTACAGGCCATGCTTCTTCATACTGGTACTTGCAAATGCAATGGCAGGAGTTTTACTCTGCAAATACTATGTGTTCAGTTCCTCCTTCTGCAGGCTGGGTGGATGTTATTTGTCATGATTCTTCAGAAATTCGTGGGCAGCCTGGCACCTGTACATTTGAAAGGAACAGAGCAGCTGCCTCTACTTTTGTGGCTGTTCCATTCAGGTTATTTCCTCATTACACCAAGTGCTGGCTCAAACTTCCCATTGTGCTAAACAGAACATGTAATAATCCATTTAAAATATAACACGTTTATCACTTGGCTCAGATCAAAGGTGCACGGCTTCAAAGGCTTCAATTAAATTGTGATGATGTAGAACACTGGTTTTATCTATATGGGTTACAGACTCATGGTTGGGTGGTTTGGTTTGGGTTTTTTTTTTAAATTTATTGAGTTAAATATTGCAAAACTCTTGCAAGATCTTTCCCATTGTTGCTGTTGATCAGTGTTAAAATAAATCCAGATTTTCCTGTTAGATTCTTTCCTTTTTTTTCTAGCTAGAACATATTGTATATAAATTGTTCTATTTATCTATGTCATGGTATTACTCTTTCTTTGGTGTCTCAGTCTTCCATCTATCTCCCTTGTTTGCTGTTCAAGTTCTCTTAGCTTCTTTTCTCTGGCTTTACTAGTGCTGCTGTTTGTAAACCCTTTAGGAAGGTGCCACAGATGAGAAATATGTGTATTCCTAGGTCAATTTTGGATGTAGAATTCAGCCACACTTAAAAGTTTATAAACAATTTGGGTACCTGGATATCTGGATAATTGGATAGGAAACTGGAGCATTACCTTGAACTATGGCTTCCTCAAGGATCTGGGCTGAAATTCAACCTACTTTAATGGTTTGCAAGACTTCAGTCAGTGATTTTTAGAGGTGGTTAGGAAGAGTGTGAGCTGGACCAACATCCAATAACACTTAAAGAGTAGAAAAACTCTGAATAGAACCTTTTTTTTCATGATTTATGATTATATGATTTTTGTATAGCTCTTTAAATGCAACTAAAATTGCTTTGTTGAGGAAAGCAGATATAATGTTTCATAATACATCTTTATAAATTGTCTATGAAATATATTTAGAGAGATTAATGGTAAGGTAGTTAACTTGGGAAAAGGTAGATTAGCAGATAGCATTGAAATGCTGGGTAAAAGTAAGAAAAAGGAAGTGTAATGTGTGAAAAAGTCTTGGGCTGCAGTTAAAACAAGTCAAGTGCTAAACCATAAAGTAAAAATATAAGTAAGAGAAGTTAGGGTTGTGAAGGAAAGGGGGTAAGGCTGTGTGTAGCCAAACCTGACCACAGTGTAGCTTCTCTGAAGCCCGTGGAGTGGCCCCCAAGTAAGGCAGGTGTAGCTTTTATAACAGAAATGGTAGCAAGGCAGAAGAATTGGTTGCAGTGAGATCCAGGGCAAACTCCTTTGTTATAAATGATGCTACTTGATTGAAAAGAAAATGCTGAAGAATGTAATTTGTGGCATTTTGAGTCAGGAAAGCATGTGTGGCCACAGGCAATGGTTCTGGAACAAGTTGGAGGTATTTCTAGAAAGTAAGATTTCCACAACTTCACCTCTATAGTCTGATAAAAAATGATAATTTTTTTTGTTTGTTTTTATGGTCTGCAGTATAGAAATAGAGGGGAGGATAAAGTGAGGATGGAAATACACATTTCTGTAAATAAAATGACATTTTTCTACTTGATTGCATACTTTGTTTTTCTTCACGTCAGTGAAACTCTCATGAACATAAAGAGACAAGAACTCTTTCTTTTGATCTTCTTTCCTTATTAGTAGCCAGAACCATATGTTCTACTTGTCTATGATCAATAAACTATCATTTGATCCAGATTCCTTGTAAAGTGACATACTCATTTTGGTCTTGTGCATAAAAACTTAGAAGTCCAGTAGCACAAGCTGGCATGAGCAACCAGTCAAGTGAACAATGATGCTTAATTCAGTGGAAATGCTCGCATGCATTTTTTCTGTCAGATCACACACCTGAGATGATAAACTGTGTTTTATTGCAGTATGCCCTACACTTTGGCCAAAAGTGATGTGTTATTCAGAAAGCAGGAAAGCAGATACTGCGCAAGTAATTCACTATTTTAGTATAAAAGGGGGAAGCAAATTTATTATCATTTTCCTTACAACACATTTAAATTTGATAGAAGGGTCTTAAAAAGTGCAAAAGTGAGAGCCAGCTACCTACAGATTACTTTTTTTTTTTTTTCCCCTCAATCTTTTCATTCAGTGCAGCCAAGTCATCTCTTTTAGTAAACTGCTGAGTCAACACGTTTTAAACCACAACTGTTTCTTATTTCTATATAGTTAACTGATAAGGACCTGTTTAAGGGTTACACCCTTCCGTATTTACACTGTTAAGGCAAACATGGTTATAGGTACAATTACATTTAAAATTCACTGTGTATTATATGGTATCAGAGTATTCTATTAGCACATTTAATTTGTGTGTGTATGCAAATGTAGCGCTGGAAGCTGGAGAGTTGCATTCATGGTGATGGATATGGCATGCTGCTGCCAAGCAGCTTCCTTGCAGAACCTTCTCCCAGCCTTTCAGCTGACCTAATCCTTGATGCTCCTAGAAATAGACAAGTCCTTCAGTCCCCTTTGCTATTTCAAATTCTGGCAGCAGCAACAAGTTGCTGTTTATTGAAATTAAGAGAGCAATCATACCAGAAGTGGCACTCTGAGCCATAGGAAATAATTCCTTTTCCCCCTTTATGTAATAGTGTCCCCTTAATCTCTCTGTGGGAGTTTAGATGATTCTTAGATGGCTGTAGAGGAACAGTGAGGGGTGCTGAAAATTCCAGGTACAGTGTGAGCTCTGGTCAGTCATGGGGGAGTTCTGCTGAAGGAGCAAGCAGGAGCATCTGTAAAGTTTAAGAAAATTATTCTGTAAGTTTACATGATGGAATGAAAATGGTATTCCAATAGTTTATAAAACATTCTGCAGAGTTCAATAGGTTTTTAGGTAGAACCATCAACACAAATACATTTGGAGTAAGGTGATTTTTCTTAGATCAAAAATATAAACCATAATTCAATGACATATAAAAGGGTCTTTGAAAGCTCTATTTTGGATTCCTAAAATGTCCATGTCAAAGATGAAATATAGTTAGAAACTATATGTAACTATAGAACTCTAGTTAGAAACTGTATGTAACTATAGAACTATAGTTAGAAATGTTTTGGGTTTTTTCCAATGGATAAAAGACAGCAGGAGGCCTGAATTCCAATTTTCTATCTTCTCATTTTTTTCTGTCTGATTTCTTCTATCTTCTTACCATTAAGATAAACTAGAAATTATGAAGAAGTTCTTCCCTGTGAGGGTGCTGAGGTGCTGGCTCAGGTTGCCCAGAGAAGCTGTGGCTACCCCATCCCTGGCAGTGTTCAAGGCCAGGTTGGACGAGGCCTTGGGTGATATGGTTTAGAGTGAGGTGTCCCTGCCCATGGCAGGGGGGTTGGAACTCGATGATCTTAAGGTCCTTTCCAACCCTAACTATTCTATGATTCTATGATTCTAAGTGTCCAGAGAGGTTTTCTTTTCTTTTCTATGTTCCTAAAGGGTGACCTTCTATGCTGGGGCAATGGAACTGATGGACGAGGTAGAGCAGTAGATGTCATCTACCTGGATTTGTGCAAAGCGTTTGACACTGTCCCACGTGAGATCCTTGTCTCTAAATTGGAGGGACATCAATTTGAAAGATGGACCACTCGGTGGATAAAGAACCGGCTGGATGGCTGCACACAAAGAGTCGTGGTCAATGGCTCAGTGGCCACCTAGAGACCAGTAACGAGTGGTGTCCCTCAGGGATCAGTGTTGGGACCGGTCCTGTTCAACATCTTTGTTGGTGACATGGACAGTGGGATTGAGTGCACCCTCAGCAAGTTTGCCGATGACACCAAGCTGTGTGGTTTGATTGATACGCTGGAGGGAAGGAATGCCATCCAGAGGGACCTTGACACGCTTGTGAGGTGGGCTGATAACAACCTCATGAAGTTTAACGATGCCAAGTGCAAGGTCCTACACCTGGGTCAGAGCAATCCCAGGCACAGCTACAGGTAGGGTAGAGAGGAGATTCAGAGCAGGCCTGCGGAGAAGGACTTGGGGGTGCTGGTCAATGAGAAAATGAACGTGAGCCGGCTTCAGTGTGCGCTCGCAGCCCAGAAAGCCAACCGTATCCTGGTCTGCATCAAAAGGAGTGTGAGCAGCAGGTCAAAGGAGGTGATCCTGCCCCTCTACGCTGCTCTCATCAGACCCCACTTGAAGCACTGTGTACAGTTCTGGTGTCTTCAACATAAAAAGGACATGGAACTGTTAGAACAATTCCAGAGGAGGGACACGAGGATGATCAGGGGACTGGAACACCTCCCATATGAAGGCAGGCTGAGAAAGTTGGGGCTGTTCAGCCTGGAGAAGAGAAGGCTGCATGGAGACCTCATAGCAGCCTTCCAGTATCTGAAGGGGGCCTTTAAGGATGGTGGGGAGAGACTCTTCATCAGGGGTTGTAGTGATAGGACAAGGGGTAATGGGTTAAAAGTTAAACAGGGGAAGATTAGATAGGTTATAAGGAAGAAATTCTCTACTGTTAGGATGGTGAGGCACTGGAATGGGTTGCCCAGGGAGGTTGTGAATGCTCTATCCCTGCTTCAAGGCCAAGTTGGGCAAAGCTTTGGGTGGCATGGTTTAGTGTGAGGTATCCCTGCCCATGGCAGGGGTGTTGGAACTAGATGATATTAAGGTCCTTTCCAACCCTAACTGTTCTTTGTAATATAAAGGAACAAACTGACTGGACTACAAATGGGATTACAAGTCCAAACTGGGATCTGAATGTTAGTTTAATGGTTTAGAGCTGCAACTAAGAAAAACGAGTAATGTTTAGTGGCAGTGTGTTGAAGGCTAAAACAATTTTGGCAAGAACAATGCTTTGAAAAACCAATGGGATAGATGATAAGAAAGGTCTGGGGAAGGATTTGGGCTTGAAAGAGTAGGAGGATTGTAATAAGGAGCCTAGTATCTGGGAACACTTGGATACAAAGGTGAAAGAGGAACTAGAAAATGGCACAAGAGGAATCAAGAAAGGGTATTGTGACTGCAAAAAGAATTGGAATTTTACCAGAGTGAGGCTTGTGTGTTCCTAATCAAAAAGAATGGGACATGGGTATGGAAGAGAGACAGAATGGAAACTGGGGTACAATGCCATTAAATGTGCTGATAAATTTTGCATTGAGCAATGCTCAGTAGTTATTCATTTGATTAAGGAGCATCAAGGTTTTGTTTTCATGTCCTCAGTAGTGGATGCATTTCTGCAGCAGGATCAAACCCAGCCTTCCACAAGCTGTGGCAGCAGAAGACTGAGGCAGGGACAGCCTTATTGCTGCTGGAACTGTGCTTATCTTTTTGTAACGAGAAGCCTCCCATTCAGTTGCAAATTACATCTCTTCAGAAACTTGCTTTGGCAAGAGAAGGTGATGCTTTGCGTGAATGCTTGATCTTGAAATGAGTGAAGGGGGACCTGTCCATTTAGTTAATAACTGCAGGGGATACTCCCAGCATTTCTGACTGCTGCTTGCAAATGCAGAATGATGCTCCAGTGAGCCTGATCTTTTGTTTGCCGCTTCTGAGCTGAATCATCAGCATTAAAAACCACAGTCAGTGCTCTACTCACGGTGCCTGTGGTATTTCTATAAGGGAAGTTACAGTCACACTGGGTGGAGGAACCTCCCTGTCTAGCTATGGGAATAGTGAATACAAGGAAATGCTTGCAGTTCTCATCATGATGGCATTTTTTGGCATTTCTCTGCTATTTTTTGCACTGATGCATTTCATTTGGCAGTTAGAATTTCATAATAAACACTTAGTAAGATGCAAACACTCTGTTCCAATGTTTTGGAACATTAATGGATTTTATTTTTCTTCTGTGCTGAATGTTTCTTTTTCTTGTGAAGGTAAAGCTGTATGTGAACTGCATACTGAGGGGGGCTGCTGCCACAACCTCTCCTGTGCAAGACTAGAGTCTGTGTTTTCCTTTTCCCTTTCTCTCAATGTTGTGTAATACGCATGTGATCCCCAAAGTGTTTCCTAAGATTCAGATGAGGAAAACCATTATTTATCCTGGTCAGCAGCCACATAGCACTAGAGAATGGACAGTGCTCTGCTTTACATTCTGCTACAATTGCCATCTCCTTTTTTCCCCATCCCAGCAATTTCAGCCAATGGTGTAAAATACTTGATGCCCACAGCCTCTGTTCGTGTTCTCTCTTTGATGAGACTTCTGGGATCTGTGAGGAATATTTTGTGGGACACGGTAAGTGTTCCCACGTATTGTGATGAAAAGTGCATATTACTCAAATTTCTGTGGGCTTCATTGTATTGGCCTAAACTTTGACCGTGTACCACTGTGACCTAGCTTCCTGGCAACTTCTGAATCAAGGCCCTTTCATCCCAGTTGTGTGATAGATCCTAAGCAGGAGCAAGGAGTAAATGTGCTTTCTTATTCATGAATTAAGCTTTAAATGAATTGAGCAACACTGGTATATTGTAAAAGACAAAGAAAGATTGAAAAGATCTTTTTAGAGGACCAGTGCTGAAGGTGTTTGGATTGAGACAGGATAACTTTGAGTAGTTATAGCTGGGCAGATCAGTTTGTTATTTCTTCAGACATTTAAGGCCTCCTTTCACTTATTAGTAAATCCTGGTCTGCTATCTTTACCTATCTAATTTTGAAGAAAAATAAAAATAATCCATGGCATAATTCTCCTTTCTTTAGTCTTTGTTGATGAAAGGAGTGCTTACATGCAACTTAAATAATGAAGGCATCCAAAGCACACTTTTAATATTCCTTCTTGTCTATACTTATTCTTTCATGAAAATGAATCTTGACTGAATATACTTTTCATTTCCTCTTCAAGATTTCGTTAATGCACAACCACAGTTCACTGAATTTTGCACAGAACAAAATGCAGCTCTATAATGCAATTAGTCTCTTTTGAATGTGGAATATAATTCCTCTTGCTTTCTCTGTCACAGACTCTGAGAACAGACAGTAAATTTGAATTTTAAATTATTTCCATGGAGCTTGAGAAGTCCTTAATTTCTCTTTCAGAAATAGTGAACAGCCTCCATTGCTCTGCTCTCTTCAGTTGGAGTTTTGGAGCATCTGTTGCTTAGAAAAACCTGATCTCTTTCAGAAGAAAGACATTTATCTAAGATAGAGTGGTATTCTGTAGTCCATGCATAAGCTGGAGAAAGCTTTGATAGTTGAGAGACCAGTGGAAGCAGAAGAACAAATGAACATTCCTAGTCATTCATGTGCCTGTTGCTGGTTGTAAGCACCGCATGTCACTGCATGGCTGGAACACCTTCAAACAGGGCTTCATTTCCAGCATTTTTTATAG